CGGAAAGTACAGGCTGGTGCGGTTTATCATCAGCCGTGTCTGGATCAAGATGGATGTTATTTGGAGAAAAAACAATAAATGGTACTTGTAAATATTTTTACATTGTTGAAATAATAAAAGTATAATAAACACCAAGTCAACAATTAATTAAAATGTGTATACATTTCTATGGGAGACCCTGTATAAATCGCGTTCATCATCCCCCAAAGAAGAGGAAGAAGAAGAGTATGAGTGGGTTCATGGAACAAATCATATTTGAACTGACGTTTCAGAACCCTTCTCGGTTACATCGTCAGAGTATTGTAGTCGCTGCGCCTGATGGTCTTGAGTTGGTAGATGTTAAACGCGATAAGAAATCTGGATCCCGAATCTTCAGGCATATAAATATATATGGTAGAACAGATCCGATAAAGACAAAGGGAAACCGGAATGACCATCTCTGGATTATCAGCCGTCACCAGGCAGTCATACCCAATTCCATCTGTGGAGTACTGGGGATTTGAATCCGGATCTCCTTGTCTTTGTCGCATCCACTCCATCCTAAGTCTGAAGTCGCTAAGCGTCTGCCTGTGATTGCTATGGAATGACCTTCCAGGCATAATGGAATAAATATGCTTCTAACCAGATATATCGATGAGCCCCTTACTTTCATGTATATATACATATATATGCAGTCTATTTAATCTATCCAATATATGTATGTATGATTATTATGTTATACCGTACTTCCGACCTAGATAGTAGCTAAAAACCCAGAAACGTGTTTCACCGAAGTTTCTGCTGCTGCTGCATGATACGGCAATGGGAAGTTCGGCAGGGTCAGTTTGTGCAGGCGAGCATCTGCGATGATGACCTAAGTGTCCCGTTGTATTCCCACTTCAGGAAATCTTAAATCATAAAACATTATGCGCAAATGCGGAGGCTTAATAAATTCTCTTAATTTCGCATATTAAAAGACACAACAATACCCAGACCGTTAACATTTTGCACGGGACTCCGTAGGTATTCACAATGCTCATTAGGCCCATCTAAGTCATTTATGCTCCCAAGGGGCTGCCTACCCCTCATCAAAAATGACATTTGTAAATTGTGTCTCGCAAAGCGATTACAATTTAGTATTAGCTAAAATTCTGCTGAGTTTTCTGGAAAACAACACGTATACGGAGAAGAGAAAATAGTTCTCCTAAGCTACCGGTTAAACTTTGCATTGGCAATCAGCTCACTAAGCCAATCCAAGGTTCTGCCGATTGTTGGTTATATAAATGGTCCGGATCTAGGTTTATTTG